AAGTATGATCTTTTAAGTTTTTAAGAAAACTCTGTCTGAAAATTTACCACCTACTATGGTGACGCTATTTAATACAAAAAGCATACAACAACAACAAAAGATTATTGGAATGGAAAGAGAAGCTGTACTTGTAAACTAAGAATTCCGCATTAATGAACAAGAGAAACATGCATCATGGTTTAAACACATCTCTAGTTTTCTTAAAGTCATTTCTTGATGTTCCCCGCACTCAAAAACAGAGATTAAAGAATCCAGAGAGCCTTAGAATATAAAGGAAAGCATAATACCTATTTAATATCTGCTTCAGTGCCAAGTAACTTATAAAGTTGTTGACACTACATGACAAACTATGACTACAGTCACATTACTGCCCTTATCTTTCGGGGAAAAAAATCAGAAGTCATTTTTTTTATTATGCAAGAAAATATTGCTGAAATTGCTATAAATAGCTCAGGGACAAGTTAAGACCTTCAGAACTATGGGGAGGGGGAGGAAAAACAATTTTGTTCCTAATTTGACGGGGAAATCACTATATCAATGTAGAATATTTAGTAATGCAAAAATGCAGGGAAATAAAAAATAAAGAGAAGTAAATAATTTTTAAACCTAGTAATTATTAGTCATTAGGAAAACTTTTTCTAAAACATTCTTAAATACAGTAAGACTTTTTTTAGAAGGCTATTGTCTCTTGCCTGCATTAAGAACACTATTGAGAAAGATCACACTTAATGCAGTGAATGTCACCTGAATTTAGCAAAACTGGAGCACCAAGACTGGGGGGGGGGGGGTGTTTGGAGGAATCTAAGGATTGGGTAAATCACTAAGCTAGATAAAAGGAAAAGTTCTTTACCTGCAGTACTTGATCTCTGGCAGCATGCAGCTATAAAAGGTTCCGACTGCTACGTCTGTGCCTCCAATGACAGACTGGTGGAGCTAACTAGTAAACGGAGAATATAAAACTCTCAGCAGAGCCGCAGTCATGTGACTTGAAGGCAGAGAGTCACAATGCCCCAGCCCTCAATTGTCAGTTCCTTTTCTAGCAACACGGCTGAGGACTCACAGGAAGCAAGTGGGTGAAAGTGGATCTATTATGACCATGTACCTTTGGAGAAAAGAATTACAGGTAATTATTTTTCCCTTCCCAGGGATGAGTTTTGATAAGAGAGCCCCATTCCTAGAGGAAAAAGTCAAACTTCCAGAATCTGAACGGTTTACAATGAAACAGAACACTATGCTCAGAAAGCAGCCTGACCAAAGACATTTGGGGCTGGGGTAGAAAGGCTACCTGTTTTTACATGAGGGCAGAGAAAACTTTAGTCAAAATTAGAGACAAAAAGCTCCTCTTCCCATTCACCAAGTGAGGAGAACCTTACTAATCTGGGCTCGATCTTGAACATTCCATCTCTGACCCCGCAAAGGGCATATTTACATTAAGCCTGAGTAGTCCCATTAACTTGAATGGGCTCTTCACATGTTTAAAATTAGTGATCAAGTCCTTTATAGTCTCTCCCCAACCTCAAAGCTTTTATAACAGAGAGCAATTGTGAGGTTTTGTATTACCAAGATTTCATTAGTTTCAAAATATTTTCACATTTTGCTAGGCTTGAATTACAAGCTAAACTATGAAGTGAGCTGTAGCTCATGAAAGCTTATGCTCAAATAAATTTGTTAGTCTCAAAGGTGCCACAAGTCCTCCTTTTCTTTTTGCAAATACAGACTAACATGGCTGCTACTCTGAAAGCTAAACTACAGTTACTTAAATGAAGAAAGTATCTTTTGCACTGTAGTAACCTTTGCATGTTCGTGAACTATCATATCAGCAAGTAATTAATTCACATGCATCTCCTGGTCATTAGTGTGAATTATTATTATTAGCAGTATCACAATAGCACCTAGAGGATCAAGATTGGGGCCCCATTGTCGTAGGCACTAAACACATACAGGAAATGACTGTGCCTGCCTTGGAAAAGCATGCAGTCCAGGTAGACAAGGCAGACAAAGAGCAGGAGGAGAAAGAGCAAGAGAGAGGCAAAGTGACTTGATCAAGGTCACCCAGCAGATAAGTGCCACAGACAGGAACAGAAACTGAGTTCTATGAACTCCCAATCCCGAGTTCTATCCACTAGGATATTAAGAAGATTCTGCCATATTGGAACATGAAGGAGACAAGGTCAGAAATAATCAGACAAGAAATAAATTGAAAAAAAAAATCACGTCTGAGCACACAAGCCTGAGATAACTACAGTTCAAAACTACAAGTGTGCTACTTTTAGCATAAATACAGATAAGAGCTCCACACTTGAAGTCACAGGATTGCAGGGAAAGCAACATGCTATCTACTCACTAGCAAAGACTGATATACTACATTGGAAAAAAAAATCCTCAAAACAGGCAAAATACAGATGTGAACTAGCCAGCATGATCTCTGTACTCCTAATGTAAGCCAAGATTTAAACTACAGTATGATATAGTACTTTGTTATTATTCAATATTGAAGTCAGTGTCTTCCCAGTTTAAAAAACACAGCCTTCTGGCCAGCAATATTAACAATAGTAATATATCTATGGACGAAAGGTGCTGTATAAAGGCTTTCAAAGTGCTTTACAAAAAGGAATTAGTTATTACCATTTCACACATGAAAGATTTGAATCAAACAAGTTAAGTGACTTGACCTGTGTCACCCAGCAGGTCAGTAGCAGAGCTGGAAATAGAATCCAGGTCTTCAAGTCCCAGTCTGATGCCCTACCCACTGAGCCACACCACCACCTGGTGGACAGAGAAACTGGGTGAATGACCCCAGTTCTGAGATTGGAAAGCAAAATACACTATAGAAATAAGCAAATATATATTTAGACTGCAAGCTAATGTGTCTTATCTATGTTCTGCAAAGTGCTTACATTTATGGTACTATAAAGATTTATAAACAACTACCGTGTCAGCATATTCATGGACTCTACAACTCTTTTACAGAAATGAGAGACTGAGGCCATGTCTACATGACAGTCATTAAACCAGCATAACTACAGCACCATAGTGCAGAAGCAGCTTATACCTGCAGAAGGTATTTTTCCATCAGCGTAGGTCCACCACATTGCTGTGTGATGGTAGTTAGGTCAATGGAATCATTCTTCCATCAACCTAGCTGCATCTGCACTGGGGGATTAGGTTAGCATAGCTATATCACTCAGGGAGGTGGATTTTTCACACCCCAAGTGAAGTAGCTATAGCAACCTAAATTTTAAGTGTAGGCAGATCAGGCCTGAAAGTTGGACATGCCTAAACTAATCAGATGTTTAGAAATCTACAAGGAGACTCAGACAAGTTCCTGAATCATGGAGGACAGATGACGATTTCTGCTAATACTTACATGAATGCACAGCTTTTCGTACGAAGAAAGAAAGAGCTAAATGAAAGCAAATTCACTTAACAAGTAAACACCATGCTACTCAAGTTTCCCTCATTTCAATGGGCATTACCCATTTTAGTCCTAAAGTTCCCTACATTCTATATAAATGTGGTGTCTTCTTCACTTTTATTGTTGAAAGTTATTTACATCAGAAATACAGAATCAAGAAGCTGAGTTTCTAGGAAGAAAGTGTTATTTACTCCAGGAGAAGGATTCCTACAGCATTTTGAGCTTCCCACATGAATAATACTTGTATCTCAGTCACACATCGTATCCCACGTGAGCCATAGAAGGTTGGGGGGGGGGGGGGGAAGGGAGAGGAAAAACAGACGACTAAGCCCCATCATTTGCTTAAAGTTAAGATGGTTAAGCACACACCTAACTATGCAACTCAAAGGTCCTAGTGCAACAAAATTTTCTTCTCTCCATAGGAAAGGACTTAGCAATGCCCTAACCCACAGTTGTAGTCTCTAATCACATATTATGGCTCTTCCAGAATTCTTAGCTTGCTCACACACTATAACAGTCATATGCTAGAAGTCTCAGACACAGAAAAGATCTGTTTTAAAAGCCTCATTTTTGGACATATAGGGAGTAAAAACAGGAATACAGACCATAGCAACCTTTTCACCCACACATATACAGAATAGGGTAACACTGGGGTAATGTTTCAAACCCATGTTAAAAAAAGTTTCACAATGCAATAGTGATCCCAGCTGGACTGTTTTCTAACATGGTTTGCATGGCCAATCTATATGATGCAATAGGGTTTGGCCTCACTCATGCCAGCAGGACAAACTATGCTAGAATACAATTCAAACGGAAGCAGTGAAGGAGGGGGAACTATGTATTTTGTTTTGATTTTACATGATTTGCAAAGACTCCAGCCTGTGTACACACAGAGCCTAAGGCACTACAGCCATCGCAAGACCTTTATGCCAGACATGTACCTTTCAACAAAAGAAATTCTGATGCCATCTATGCAACCAAAAAGTATCAACTACTACTTCACTTCCAGCATCCTTAGAACAAAAGCTACTAAAAATTCAGTGCCTGATGCAGTTACACTAAAGCACCCTTCACCTGCTCTGGCAGCATGAAAGGGACTTAAATTGGGTGTGATGCCTCTTTATGCTGCCAGAGTGGTATGTAAGAACCTTATAGGGTAGGGGTTCTCAAATTTCATTGCACCATGACCCCTTCAGATAACAAAATTACTACATGACCCTGGGGTAAGTGGCCGGAGCCTGAGCCCCGCCGCCCCTAGTGTGGGGAGAGGGGGCCGGAGCCTGAGCGAGAGCTCAGGCTTCGGCTTCAGCCCCAGCCCCAGGTCCCAGCAAGTCTAATGCTGACCCTGGCGACCCCATTAAAATGGGGTCCCGATCCACAGTTTGAGAACTACTGTTCTAGGGTAACTGAGAATTCAGGTTTCTGAGCTGAAGTGACTAATTTTTCTGAATGTCTGTTTCTGTAAGAGACAACATTTAGAGTTGGCTTTTAAAGCCAAAAGTACCGTAAGCACAAAAGTAATTGTTTGATATTTGTAATTCTGCAAGACTATCTTCTATACAAAGTATTTTAAAGAGCTACTTACCGATGTTCTATCAACACGAATGTTTCAGAGTCAAGATACAAAAGACTTATGTTGGCACCTCCTGACACTCCAGGCAAGGGGTATATAATCTTGGCAATAAGGTGAGCAGTCTCTAGAATCAAGATGCATGTATTAATGTTTCAGGTAGTCATTCCGTGAGCTTTTTAGTCCACATTTTCAACAAGCTATAACCATGAGTTACTTCCCAAGGTTAGGTTTATATGATAACATTAATATCATGGGTGTGGTGGAGCAAACTAGTGTTTCTGAATTACAGCCAATTCAGCAAGTTACTTAACTACATACCAATCTTTAAGCATGCGAGCAACCCCATTGAATTGAATGGCGCTGTTTAAATATCTTGCTGAATTGGTGCCTAAATATTGAGAGTAAGATGCTACTTGTAGCAATCTCTTGATCACTGTGAAAAGTGGTGATGACAGAAGGTTGGAACTCAGTCTGTATATGGAGGAAAAGAGGCACAATGTTGGATGTCTCTGGCCAGTAACAGAAATCAAGCTTAACATCAAGCCATTATCACGGCTCAACAATATAGTAATAAATATCTATCTATCTTAGTCTGACCAAGAAGGAAACCTGACAGCTAATTAAATGGATTGCCTTGAACCCCTTCCTCCTCTTCTTTCTGCCCCGTAGCCACAAGAGATTGAAATATCAACTGACAGATTTGAATATACTAATACAAAATGCTAAAGGCCAAAGAAATAAAACTCCCATATAACAACTAATATTAACCAAGGAGGATTTAAAGCACTAGGCATATCTAGTATTTTAGCCCTCTTTTTTCTCTTTAGATATAACCAAACAGATTAGTCTGTCTTAAACAGCAAAGAACATTAACTGGTATGTGTCATTTTTTCCACTGATCATCAGTGGCTTGCTTATTTACCTTTTGCTAGGTAACACCTGCTAGTGTAAATCGCCTTTAAACGCATGCACACACACACAAATTAAGCACAGGTAACTGGATGTGGGACTTCCGGGTATGACTCTTAACGTCTCCCCATCCCCTTATCATTCTGCAATGGATATTTTTAGGTCCATGTTTTAAGTAGTTGCTTCTAGTTTCTGGGTGTTCAGCTTGAGACAGCTTCAGGCCCTATTTTCATGGGCTGTGAGCACCCTCAACTCCAAGTGAAGTTGTTGGAAGCTCAGCACTATTGGGAAAAGAAAGATCAGGCCCAAATTGGACACCAAGAAACTGAGGCATCCAAAGTCAGAAGATGATGGATACAGGTGTCCATATCAGGAATCTGAGAACATCCCTCACGTGGCCTTCCAGGCTGAATCCAGTGATTAAGAAGCTTCATTTTAGAAGTCTCGCCAAGACTTCTCCATAGCAGCTCCACCATCCTCATCCACCCAAGCTATTCTAACCCATTCTATATTCCAGAACATGTCCTCAATAACCCTTAATTGACCCAGAATGCCCTGATAAGCTTAATTCTAGCAGAAGATAGTAGCATTCTAATTTTCCTCCCTTTAGTCATCATATTTGCCACAGAATTATTAAAAACAAACAAACAAACACAAAACTACACCACCACACACCACTTTAAGACCGACAAGAGTCTTTGACCTGGCTTATCTAGCTGGACTTTTGTTCCCTTTCTATCTTGCAGTTTATATTCGTGTTCTGGTTTACCAGTCCCTCCCTCCTCCCCACAAGTACAAACTGTTTCCACATGCCAGAGTTGCTGTTAATAACCTTCTCACTGACAACAGATCAGTCACTTGTATTATCAAAACTACCTTCTTTCAAAGTGTTTGGGAGCCATATTTTCCCTCCATTCAGTCAAACTGTGAAATGCTGTTGCTGTAGGGATTTTCCACATAAAGAAATACATTTCTAAGGGGGGGGGGTTGTATATAAGATGACTAAATCAAATCCCTCTCTCAGAAACTAATAGAGAAGTAGGTTAGCGTAGTATAATCTTGATATATCCCCTCCCCCATCTCTGCAAGAAAGAAATTTTTACAGCCTGGCCACCCAACTTCAGGTGGTTTGGGGACAGGCACGAAAAGTAGAATTAAATGATCTCCTTGGACCCCACATGGGCAAAGCCCTTCTTTCTCACAAGTTTTTTGGCAGTGGCAAGAGGTTATCAGTTATTTAATGATAACATGATGTTTCTGTACAGTTTGCTAAAAATGTTGTGCTCTTTGATTTACAATTAAGAGTTTATCCAAAAAGGGAAACTGTGTAGAATTCATGGAGCTCACTGTTAAATCCCATGATTCTCCATCTTTTCCTTGAGCTCAGGATTTTCCAGCAAAGTGAAGTTTTGCAAACTCTGTTTTTTTTGTTATCTGATCATTCTTTGTCCAACTGCCCAAGATTCCAACATTTCTTCACAGAAGGTCACAGGAAGTTTCAGGTGACTTGTTTTAGTTTTGGCAAAGTTACAGAGGTATAAAAATGCTTTAAAACACAGTCAGCACTTTAACCAAGGACAGAAATAGCCACCTCACCACAAGTAGCAGAGTTATATTTGCAATTTAGAATCATAGAATATCAGGGTTGGAAGGGACTTCAGGAGGTCATCTAGTCCAACTCCCTGCTCAAAGCAGGACCAATCCCCAATTTTTGCCCTGATCCCTAAATGGCCCCTTCAAGGATTGAACTCACAACCCTGGGTTTAGCAGGCCAATGCCCAATGCTCAAACCACTGAGCTATCCCTCCCCCCGCAAAGGGGGATAATAGTGCTGACTCCATTGTAAAGCACTTTGATATCTATGGAAAAGGGCTCATAGAATATCAGAGTTGGAAGGGACCTCAGGAGGTTATCTAGTCTACCCCCCTGCTCAAAGCAGGACCAATCCCCAATTTTTGCCTTAGATCCCTAAATGGCCCCCTGAAGGATTGAACTCACAACCCTGGGTTTAGCAAGCCAATGCTCAAACCACTGAGCTATCCCTCATATTGCATAGGCTTATGTTATATAGCCACCTGTCTTAAGTACCTTAGTATCTAGGCACAAAAATCAGTAAAAAGCAGACAGTACAGAAAGCAATTCTCCTCATGATTCAAGGATTTGTTTGTTTTTAATTTTGTTTTTGAAAGAGTAGATCTGGACTTCTGTTGCATGGTTCCACATCTTGATGTGATCACAAGCAAGACTGGTCTCAGTCAACCTCTAAGCAGTCTTTTCTTGGGGTTCTCCAACTGCATAATCCCTATCTAGCACAATCACTTGGGTGAGTGGTGGGCAATGAAGTGGGGTCCCAAAATTGCCAAGTCCCAGCATAGGAAAGCTTTTGGAGATTAGGACCAAGACAGAATTTGTTCTAGAAATTTGCGGGGGGGTGGGGGCAGTGGCTTCCTCAGAGCACCAGGGTGAGAGTTTGCATTGGCTTTTGTTGGTGAAGACACTGGAAGCAGTTGCAGATTCCATATGGTAGTGAGGCAACTTAAATTGAAAGTTATGAAAGCATAGAATTTACGGTCTACTATAGATCCTTGTCTATAAGATAGCCAGACAAAATGCATCCTTGCAGAATATTTGTCATCTGAGGACAGTAGCTTTTTAGGGGGTGGGGGAAAGACAAGCAAATACTTGAGTTATTTGCTAAAGGATAGGAGAATAGGTTTTCATTCATATTTTATAAAGCTCCTTTAAAAAAGGACTGAGAAAGTTTCACACAGAAATCTGTGTGAAACTAACTGCTCATAATACATTTTAAGTAAACTTTTACAGACACAGTATTCAGTACCATTTATCCTCCCTAGCCATGATTAGAACACACAGCTCAAGTGTCTACAGCATTTCGGTTAAAATCATTCTGATCTGAGTAACATGATCAAACTGTACTCTAAATACAAACCTATCAAAGTTGTAGCGCTCCTAAAACTTTTGCTAGAGCAATCTTAACTGTCTCATAACAAGATTAGCTTGAACTTTCCTGCATTTCAAGTTTGCTGACAGATTTCAGAAAAACTTAGGAATTTTCTGCATTCTATCTAAATGACAGAAAATCTGCCTCACAACATGAGCACTTTAACAGGTTTCAGAGAAGCAGCCGTGTTAGTCTGTATCCGCAGAAAGAAAAGAAAAGGAGTCTCTAAGGTGCCACAAGTCCTAACACATTTATTTGAGCATAAGCTTTTGTGAGCTACAGCTCACTTCATCGGATGCCTGGAGTAGAAAATACAGTGGGGAGATTTTATATACACAGAGAACATGAAACAATGGATGTTACCATACAGACTACTGTTTTTTTTGGTTTGTTTTTTTCTCTCTCCTCTGCTGGTAATAGCTCACCTTACCTGATCACTCTTGTTGCAGTGTGTATGGTAACACCCATTGTTTCATGTTCTCTGTGTATATAAAATCTCCCCACTGTATTTTCCCTCCATGCATCTGATGAAGTGAGCTGTAGCTGACGAAAGCTTATGCTCAAATAAATTTGTTAGTCTCTAAGGTGCCACAAGTACTCCTTTTCTTCAAGCACTTTAGACTCACAGCAAGAACTTCAACTCCGATTCAGTGTGTAAACTGCCAGTATTGTGGTGGGGAAAAGAGGCTTTAAAAAGTGAGCAATAAATGACTAAACTTTACATAATTATTCTGTGTCTGGCATATGACAGATTAAATATTCTTTAGTGATTGTACTGTTTTAAAAGTATTTATCAAGGCCTTTATCCCATTCTCCCAGAGCCTACTGATCCAGCTCACGCCTACTGTACTGCAGATGCAAGAGAAGAGTATGTGTGAGTGGCAACAGCTACACTGGATTTTGTAGACTCCATACTAAAGTTGAACTCTGAACAAAGTTCCCCTTCAGAAGGAAACGCACATGCTCCTGAACACGCTACAGCTTTTTAAACTGAGCCCATAAAGGAAGATGAGTCACTGACCTCATCTAGTGTGGGAGGAGAGCAAGCCATGGAACAGAGCAAGCCCTAGGAGGGCTTTTCATGAAAATTGGCTTCTATGGAACTTTACTTTAATATCAGAAGACAATCAGACACCAGGACTTTGCTGTTACTACATCAGCAAGTTATAGCCCCAAAAGGAGAGAAAACCACAGTAGAGGAGAAGATGGCAATCATCCTTTCACACTTCACCTTTGCCCCAAGCAGAGACTTCTCCTCCTAACCCAGCCTACCCATTCCCCCTTCCCTCCCTGCCCCAAAAATAAATTTCTCCCTCTAATTTTTACTTAGAACTTAGTAATTACTCCATCCTGTCACAATGGGGTCCAGAGATGCCTTAATCTTTTACCCACATCCCAGACAACTCAGGGAGGGGCATACGGTTATGAACAGGGGAGTTTATCCCTCGCAAAAGAGGACAAATCCTGGCAATTATATCCCAATAAGACAAACTTTTATCATTAGAAATATATTGGAACAAGTCACTACAAATCTAGAGTTTATCAGAACTAGAGAAAGAGAACGCAGGGATTCAATCTGGATTTTAGTCAGGCATTCGATACTGCGCCTCACAAAATCTCAATTGGGAAGTTAATTCAAATTGGCTCAGATAGAGCAACTCCTGTGGATTGCAAGCTGGTTGGAAACCCATACACAAAATGGTTATGACAAGTAGCAAAGTAGCACACTGAGAGATACTGAGAAACCAGTGTTAAGACATGTCTTAATATGCTCATTAATTATCTAGAAGAGTTAGTAAGCAAAATATTAATAAAAAAAGAAAAGGAGTACTTGTGGCACCTTAGAGACTAACCAATTTATTTGAGCATGAGCTTTCGTGAGCTACAGCTCACTTCATCAGATGTTGATGAAGTGAGCTGTAGCTCACGAAAGCTCATGCTCAAATAAATTGGTTAGTCTCTAAGGTGCCACAAGTACTCCTTTTCTTTTTGCGAATACAGACTAACACGGCTGTTCCTCTGAAACCTGTCAAAATATTAATGCATCCACATGGCGATCAAACCCCAAACACAGCATGTAACTATCTTGGGTGGGCTATGCCCACCCCTAACAGATACCTGAGGGGTCTGGGTTTTCTTAACTCTTTGACAACACTTGTATAACTTGTAATCCCATTAAAGTCTTATTAAACTGAATTGACATTCTTAGATTATTAAATGGAAAGGAGTTGCAGACACCACTGGGGATGGAGAAACACAGGGTGTGTGCGTGTGTCTCTACAGAGATTAGATACATGGGCAAAAAGTTTTAAGAGATTCAACTTAGAAAAACGCAGCTAGTGTATTGGAGTGTGCGGAGGGGGCGGAGAAGGGAAAATCTAAATCAGATCCTTCACGGAAACAAGCAGTCAAGGAATCAGTAATGTTGAAAGCCCTTCTTTACAAGCATAGACAGCAAATTAGCCATCAGCTTGCATTGCTACGCGGCTGCAAAATAAAATAAAGGAAACAAGCTTAATGCAATTTTAGGCACAAGGAGGTGCGTGAGGCCTTCTGTACAACCACACCAGGAATATGGCAATCAATTCTGGGCACCAGGATACCAGAAAGAAATTGACAAAGCAACAGGAGCTCAAGTGATTAGCCATGGAAGAGATTAGGGGGCTGGAGGAATCCAGTAGGGAGGAAAGATTAATAAGTGAGTGGAGCTTGGTTAAGTGACAACCTGTGAGGGGGCGAGGTTAAGAGAACCTACAAGTGCATGAAGGGTGTAGGCAGGGGTTAAATTCTTACAGAGTATTTTCTAGAGCCCCCCCCCTCCCCCTCCACCATGCTATAAAAACCTCTAAGAGGGAAGGGGGAGGAAGACTCACCCTCGACCCTGCCCACTCCGAGGCCTCGCCCACTCCTGGCAGGGGTTAAAGCCAGGCCCCCCAGGTGTCAGGAAACTCAGACCCCCCCCCCACCACCACCACCACCACCACCACCCCCTCACACAGCCCCTGGGCAAGGGGGCAGAAAGCTGCCTACCCCGCTGCACGAGGGAGAAACTGACCCACCCCCCCCCAAAGGGAGAGGGGGGGAGCCCAACCCCGTGGTGGAGGGGCACCTCAGAGCCAGGCAGCCCCCCCCTTTGAGCCAGCCCGCCAGGGGGCCCCTCAGAGCCAGGCAGCCCCCCCCCTCCGAGCCAGCCCGCCAGAGCCATGCAGCCCCCCCCCTCCGAGCCAGCCCCCCAGAGCCAGGCAGCCCCCCCCTCCGAGCCAGCCCCCCAGGGGGCCCCTCACAGCCAGCCAGCCCCCCCGAGGACCCCTCAGAACCCGCCGTCGCGGGGGAGCTGAGCCCGCCGCCCCAGGGGCAACTCTACGCCCGGCTCGGTACCTGCGCGTCCCGGTGCCCCAGCGCCAGCTGCTCCCCGCACCCACCCCGCGCCCGCCTTTTGACTGGAAGCTACCGGCTCCCCCGCCCCCCCCCCCACTACACCGGAGCCGCGAACGGCCCCGCCCCCGCCGCTCAAGCTCCGCCCCCAGCCCCCCCCACCGCCGGCTGAAATTGCCGGTGCCCTTCCGTCTCTCCTGCCTCTGTCCCTGCCCCCAGCGCCTCAAACTCCCAGCCGGGCCACCCCCCTTCCCTGTGCCAGCCCCCAGCCCCTGTGCCAGCCCTACCACCCCCAGCTCCTTTCCCTCTGCCACCCCCCTTCCCTGTGCCAGCCCCCAGCCCCCTTCCCTCTGCCAGCCCTACCACCCCCAGCTCCTTTCCCTCTGCCACCCCCTTCCCTGTGCCAGCCCCCAGCCCCCTTCCCTCTGCCAGCCCTACCACCCCCAGCTCCTTTCCCTCTGCCACCCCCTTCCCTGTGCCAGCCCCCAGCCCCCTTCCCTCTGCCAGCCCTACCACCCCCAGCTCCTTTCCCTCTGCCACCCCCTTCCCTGTGCCAGCCCCCAGCCCCCTTCCCTCTGCCAGCCCTACCACCCCCAGCTCCTTTCCCTCTGCCACCCCCCTTCCCTGTGCCAGCCCCCAGCCCCCTTCCCTCTGCCAGCCCTACCACCCCCAGCTCCTTTCCCTCTGCCACCCCCTTCCCTGTGCCAGCCCCCAGCCCCCTTCCCTCTGCCAGCCCTACCACCCCCAGCCCCGCCACCCTAGCCCCCTTCCCTCTGCCACCCCCTTCCCTGTGCCAGCCCTGCCATCCCCAGCCCCGCCACCCTAGCCCCCTTCCCTCTGCCACCCCTTCCCTGTGCCAGCCCCCAGCCCCCTTCCCTCTGCCAGCCCTGCCATCCCCAGCCCCGCCACCCTAGCCCCCTTCCCTCTGCCACCCCCTTCCCTGTGCCAGCCCTGCCATCCCCAGCCCCGCCACCCTAGCCCCCTTCCCTCTGCCACCCCTTCCCTCTGCCAGCCCCCAGCTCCCTTCCCTCTGCCAGCCCTGCCATCCCCAGCCCTGCCACCCTAGCCCCTTCCCTCTGCCACCCCTTCCCTCTGCCACCCTGCCATCCCCAGCCCCGCCACCCTAGCCCCCTTCCCTCTGCCACCCCTTCCCTGTGCCCCCCCAACCCCCTTCCCTCTGCCAGCCCTGCCATCCCCAGCCCCGCCACCCTAGCCCCTTCCCTCTGCCACCCCCTTCCCTGTGCACCCCCAGCCCCTTCCCTCTGCCAGCCCTGCCATCCCCAGCCCCGCCACCCTAGCCCCCTTCCCTCTGCCACCCCTTCCCTGTGCCACCCCCAACCCCCTTCCCTCTGCCAGCCCTGCCATCCCCAGCCCCGCCACCCTAGCCCCCTTCCCTCTGCCACCCCCTTCCTGTGCCAGCCCCCAACCCCCTTCCCTCTGCCAGCCCTGCCATCCCCAGCCCCGCCACCCTAGCCCCCTTCCCTCTGCCACCCCCTTCCCTGTGCCAGCCCCCAACCCCCTTCCCTCTGCCAGCCCTGCCATCCCCAGCCCCGCCACCCTAGCCCCCTTCCCTCTGCCACCCCCTTCCCTGTGCCAGCCCCCAGGCCCTTCCCTCTGCCAGCCCTGCCACCCCCAGCCCCCATCCCCTGTGCCAGCCCTGCCACCCCCAGCCCCCTTCCCTCTGCCACCCCCTTCCCTGTGCCAGCCCCCAGCCCCCTTCCCTCTGCCAGCCCTGCCATCCCCAGCCCCCTTCCCTCTGCCACCCCCTTCCCTCTGCCAGCCCCCAGCCCCCTTCCCTCCGCCAGCCCTGCCATCCCCAGCCCCCTTCCCTCTGCCACCCCTTTCCCTGTGCCAGCCCCCAGCCCCCTTCCCTCTGCCAGCCCTGCCAGCCCCAGCCCCCTTCCCTCTGCCACCCCTTTCCCTGTGCCAGCCCCCTTCCCTCTGCCAGCCCTGCCATCCCCAGCCCCCTTCCCTCTGCCACCCCTTCCCTGTGCCAGCCCCTAGCCCTCATCCCCTGTGCCAGCCCTGCCACCCCCAGCCCCCTTCCCTTTACCACCCCCTTCCCTCTGCCACCCCCCAGCCCTGCCACCCTCCACCCCCCTTACCTCTGCCAGCCCTGCCACCCTCCACCCCCTTCCCTCTGCTAGCCCCCTTCCCTATGCCAGCCCAGCCACACCTCCAGCCCCCTTCCCTCCACCAGCCCTGCAATCCCCCTCCCCTTTGCCAGCCCTGCAGCCCCTCAGCCCCCTTCCCTCTGCCAGCCCTGCCACTCCCAACTCCCCACCCCCTTTCCCTGCCCTGCCACTCCCTAGCCCCCCTTCCCTCTGCCAGCCCTGCAGCCCCTCAACCCCCTTCCCTCCACCAGCTCTGTCCTGCAGCCCCCCAATCCTTCCACCAGCCCTGCTCTGCAGCCCCCCAGCCCCTCTTCCCTCCACCAGCTCTCACCCCCAAGCTCCCCTACCCTCCACCAGGCCTACCCTGCCACCCCCAGCCCTCCTCCCAACCTCTGCCAGCCCTGTCTTGCTGTCCCCCGTGTTTTGTCCCCCCTTCCCTTTGCCAGTTCCACAGTCACCATCCAGTGTCCCCGCCCCCCCCATGTGCTTCTCTCTCACCCCCTTCCAGCTGCCAAAATAATCAGCCATGAAGCAGTTCATAAAGTGTCATCACTGAGATGTAGATTTGCTGCCCCAATCAAATTAGCAGGAAAGGGGGGAGTTGACTGATCCCCGAGGCTCTCTGCAGACTCAGGCAGGGATGGCCACCGCAGTGAACCTTCCCAATGGGAGCCAAGTATCTCTGAAGCCAGGAGGGCTAGGAAAAAAAAAAAGAGCCAAAATGCTGCCCAACATGGATACAGCCTGCAGGCCAGTTCCAGCCTCTGTATGTTTGACACCCTTCCGCTAGTCTAGCTGTCCCATATCAAACAGAGGAGCCTGACAGTCTGCAGAGTTACTCCTTTCGCCCAGTAGGGACCTGTGCTTTCTCTGCTCCATTCACAGCTATCAGCCGCATGTGCGCCATGACTGTACATTGTACGAGCACACAGAGCTCCTTCTCTCCCAAGGCTTCGCACAGCTATAGCGGATGACTCGGGGGAAGGCCGTTAGGTAAAGGAAGCTTTCAAGTAAGTGGTTGCAAATAAATGAACTTTTTAATGTGAGCAGTTGAGACAGTTTGGGAATGCGGAGTGGTTTTGCAAACCGCCTCAGTGTAAACCGAATTAGCCCTTGGTAAGAGGGTCTGTCTCAGGTACCTCTCCGAGCAGGTGAGAATAGTGAATATTTTTGCAAGTAAGTTCTAGACCAGGGCTGCCCTGCCTCTGTCAATAGAATCCAAGAATATCGGGGTTGGAAGGGACCTCAGGAGGTCATCTAGTCCCACCCCCTGCTCAAAGCAGGGCCAACCTCAACTAAATCATCCCAGCCAGGGCTTTGTCAAGCCTGACCTTAAAAACCTCTAAGGAAGGAGATTCCATCACCTCCCTAGGTAACCCATTCCAGTGCTTCACCACCCTCCTTGTGAAACAGTGTTTCCTAATATCCAACCTAAACCTCCCCCACTGCAACTTGAGACCATTACTCCTTGTTCTGTTATCTGGTACCATTGAGAATAGTCTAGATCCATCCTCTTTGGAAGCCCCCTTTCAAGTAGTTGAAGGCTGCTATCAAATCCCCCCTCATTCTTCTCTTCTGCAGACTAAATAATCCCATTTCCCTCGGCCTCTCCTCATAAATCATAGAATCATAGAATATCAGGGTTGGAAGGGACCCCTGAAGGTCATCTAGTCCAACCCCCTGCTCGAAGCAGGACCAATTCCCAGTTAAATCATCCCAGCCAGGGCTTTGTCAAGCCTGACCTTAAAAACCTCTAAGGAAGGAGATTCTACCACCTCCCTAGGTAACCCATTCCAGTGCTTCACCACCCTCTTAGTGAAACAGTGTTTCCTAATATCCAATCTAAACCTCCCCCACTGCAACTTGAGACCATTACTCCTCGTTCTGTCATCTGATACCATTGAGAACAGTCTAGAGCCATCCTCTTTGGAACCCCCTTTCAGGTAGTTGAAAGCAGCTATCAAATCCCCCCTCATTCTTCTCTTCTGCAGGCTAAACAATCCCAGCTCCCTCAGCCTCTCCTCATAAGTCATGTGTTCCAGTCCCCTAATCATTTTTGTTGCCCTTCGCTGGACCCTCTCCAATTTATCCACATCCTTCTTGTAGTGTGGGGCCCAAAACTGGACACAGTACTCCAGATGAGGCCTCACCAATGTCGAATAGAGGGGAACGATCACGTCCCTCGATCTGCTCGCTATGCCCCTACTTATACATCCCAAAATGCCATTGGCCTTCTTGGCAACAAGGGCACACTGCTGACTCATATCCAGCTTCTCGCCCACTGTCACCCGTAGGTCCTTTTCCGCAGAACTGCTGCCTAGCCATTCGGTCCCTAGTCTGTAGCGGTGCATTGGGTTCTTCCGTCCTAAGTGCAGGACCCTGCACTTATCCTTATTGAACCTCATCAGATTTCCTGGGCTGGGAACAGAACACAGCCCACAAAAAGAAAAGCCATTGTTGCCAGAGTAGAAACAACACCCCAGAGTTTTCCCCTGATTTGGAGGGCAGTTAATTATAATTATTTATTATAGCAGGGTAGCCAGACAGGCAGCTTTGGCCTGAGGCAAAGCCCCTTTACGAATGGGCTTTAAATCATGTGCTCCAGCCCCCTAATCATTTTTGTTGCCCTTTGCTGGACTCTTTCCAATTTTTCCACATCATTCTTGTAGTGTGGGGCCCAAAACTGGACACAGTACTCCAGATGAGGCCTCACCAATGCCAAATAGAGGGGAAGGATCATGTCCCTTGATCTGCTGGCAATGTTCCTACTTATACAAATTCAGTGTCCCTACTCTTAATTGCAGTGTTTTTCTTCTCCCCTGCTGGCTACCTGGCATGGCTCAGCATGGCAGCTGCTGGCACTCATGCCCAAGAATGGGATTGAAAAAGGATACAATAAAAAAAGTTCCATACCTCCCAGGCAGCTCAGAAATCACTGC